CCAAAGAAATACATTGTTGAACAAAAAGTTGATGTCTTTGATTATTAACCGTCGAGTATAGTCTGACATTTGTACAAAACCATTCTATAAGAAGGTTTTCTTTTTCTTTTCTTTTTTCTTCGCTTATTTTGATCGATTCTCGGCGATTACAGATGAAAGAAAACATTTTTTGTTTTAAAAGTGATGAGGACGTTGTATCAGAGTGTTTTGAAGATCTTATTGGTGGACATCCACAAATGTACTTGTTCATTTGCGAGGTGCTATTATTATTGTAAGAATATACGTTACATAGCGATGTTTACATGAGACAAGGTTGTTTAATTTTATCACCACAGTACTTTAATTGTCACTAGCAGCTGGAAAACCAAACCGAGACTAGCAACTTGTCGTATGTTTCTTCCTATTTTCGACTATTGTTAGATTTCCATCTTTACGCATGAATCAATTAAAAATCCTTCTACAGGACATTCGGGAAACATCTGATAATGTATGATCAGCATTGCAAGGATCTGAACAAGTTTCTTTTGTTATATCGACAATATGATTAGAAGAAGAATAATAGTTTGCCGACCAATAATACGCATCTAGATTAAAACTTTTATCGTAAAAATTTCTACTAGCTAACATAGAAAAGGTCACATTAGTTAAATTCACAATGGTAATTGTGTAAGGCTCCAAACAGACTGAATTAATTTAAAGTCAATTAACCAATGTTAGTGACGTCGTTACATGGTAACACCAATCATGTTTCTTAATTCACTTTGAATTGAGTCAGTGTGTTTGGGACCTAAATCAAATTATTCGACAGACCAAATAGATAACTATGTTTACGTAAATATTCATATTCATTTATTGTTGTGATTATTTTAACTTCATCACCAATAGAACTTCTTTCGGAAGTGAACAATAAAATCGAGAGATAACATTAATGATTTACTATTTAATCACTAACAATTGCATTTTAAGTAGCCAAGTTGACTCGGCGAGTCTTGAAATCAACTCGCACTCGTCGCGGTGCGGAAAATCCTGCCTCGTCTTACTTCGTGAGGAGGCGGGGAAGCTCAGCGAGTCTGAGATCTCTGGCCTATAGCTCTTTATTCACACAGGGTATGCATGATAGCATAGTTCCTTTCAGTAGAGGGTTAGCGACGTTTGCGTCGCGTTACTTGTTAAGCTATCATGTATTTTTTCTTTCCCGCATCGCTTTTCATCTGTAAAAGTTATAACTCTATGTGAAGTTATGATAAGTGACATTACGAGATAGTATACAAAATATCTCTACTAAGACTAACAATCATGCTGTATCTATAGTTGATTGTTATATATTTCTTCATCATGCAATCGTTTATGTTATTAATTATGTATTTTAAACTTTTTACTATCGATTTGTTTTTTGAATCATGCAGTGAATCGTTAGTAACTTTTCGTTGTCATTTTTAATCATCTGTCATGACAAGTTATTAAAAGAATAATAATTAATATTGTTTGCCCCCATAGAATCAAAATTAAATATGAAAATCATACTATTGAATCAGATTAGACAGATCAAGCGTCGAAATAAAATTTTCGCATGTAATTTATAGAAATAAAAAAGTACTTGCGATGTCTTTTGCAGCACTTTTCAGATTTTCTCTAATTTACTACAGTAATTCTTGTCAGCGTGAAAGATTGACTATGCGTACAATAATGAATTATTCATATGAATTACTATAAACTCAATATATTTTTAATCAAAATAAAGTTTTGTCTTTCAACGTGCTTACAATAAGAAAACCACTGTGCTACGCTAACGAAAAGATGAAGAACAATGATTTCTACTGATAAAAAAAGAAACAATACAACCGTGTCTTTTCAATCAAATATCTTGGGTATAAATATACATGATGATTAATCTGCATAAGAAAGTTGATAACTTAGACAAAATCTCGTTGAACAATCGAATGCCAGATCCAACAAGCTGTTATAAGCTCCTATGTATACTAAATTTCTCATAGAAACTTATCAGAAGATCGATGAGGATTATATTCTCAGTATTGTAAGTAGATTTCGACAGACTCGTTGTTTTGAATAGCCCAAAAAACTTGTCGTAGAATCATAGAATAGGAGCTATTAGAACATCAGCGGGATCATATATAAGATAAGATTAATTCTATCATCGATAAGCTATATCAAATCAGATAACATGAGTCCTCGATTATCACTTATTTCACTTGACTTATTCTAGTAGTGTATATTTATCCTGTTGAATAAAAATATAAGCTTGTATAGAGCAAATTTAAGCTTTGAAGAATAAGTTTGTATTAAGGTAAATAAAAAAATGTAACTATATAGCGAAACTTATTGATAAAGCAGCATGTAGAAGAAATTATACTGTTCAAGGGCTAAATGATAGTTCATTTATGTACAACTGAATGATTGGGTATGAGGATCAGTGAGTAACGACGCAAAGTTGAATATAGAGGTATAGCAACATAGATGTAAGTTCTAAGAACAGAAATTTATCAGATAATTGTTAATATATATATTTAAGATATAGACTGAAGAAAATCAGTTACATAAGTGAAGGGACATGAACTTAGCTATGTCGGCTAATGCAAATTTTTGTAACGAATTTTCGTATAATCTTGTACATTCATATAATGTGTGACTCTACGATCATACGGATTCATAGAAAAATCGTCAACTCTGCGATTTTACATCAGAATTTACATTAAAGTATGTATAAGACTGAACAATATGATCTTATATGAACATACAAGATCGTAATATTGAGTTTCATTGTATTTTCGCACGCTTATACAATAATTCACACAACTTAAGACTCTGTTCTTTGTCAGAGACTAAAGGATCTAGTTTCGTAAAAGCTTATAACATAATGAATATACACATAGAATCAATATTCGAATCGGATGTTGCATACATCGACATATCCAAATCATTATGCCTTTACTTACTTATGTAACTAAATCACTTGAACTCAATCGTTCGATCTATATACTATAGACTACATGATAATAACTATAACCTTCATGCTATACTTTATATCTGCCACTACATACTTCTATTTGTATCTTCATGACCTTATGCTGATACTTAAAGTGTCAGACCAATATCCTTGGACTTATGTCTATATTCTTCTTGCTTTATCCTTATTAGCATACATTTATACTCTTATATCCATAATCTTGCATTCGTATTATTATATCCATTTACTGATATTTGTAAAGTAGTCTATTTTGTGCTTCCACTGTTGCCATTTTAGTCATAAACTTATCCTTACGTCTTTACTCACTCATGTTCGTATTCAATTATATAGTTTTGTAAGATTTGTAGCATTTTGTATTTTTGTCTCAAACGATGTTCATTTATTCTGCAAAATTCTCTTCTTGCACATTTATACATTTGTGTGTAAGGAGATCATTTTTTACCCTTACAATGTGAATAACTGAAGTCAGGTTTAGAAGTTTCGGTAATTTCGAGTAAATCGAACCAAATCGATAGACACGTATTTTCAGAAAGATCTTTACAGATGATTTTGGAGGGTGGTGGAAGATTTGTATTTTCTAACCTAACGCTTCGTATCTTGTAATTGTTATAAGATGTTCGTTTAAGTCTTTCAATAATACCGAAGGAATGATCCCTTATTGATTTGGTGGTAACATCTTATAAAATCTTGTTGGATCTGGTATCTGAATTTTTGACCTGAAAAATTGATACTCTCTATTTAAATCTGCGTAATTAGATGTGGCCGGATCTAGACAATATGATCAAAATAAAACTGAAATATTTAATACTGGTCCAGAGCTGGGCAAAATACTCGAAGTACTCGTACTCGAGTACGATATGATGGTACTCGTACTCGTACTCGTACTCGAAGGGTCAGTACTCGTACTCGTACTCGTACTCGAAGGATCGGTACTCGTACTCGTACTCGTACTCGAGAGTTAAGTACTCGAAATTCTGAATAATTATGCATTATATTAAAATGATGCTTGATAAAATTATAGTATCGTTTCCGAGGATGAAATACACAACTGATATCTTATTTTTTATTCTTTATATACGTATCCGCTTTTCTATCGGAAAGAAGCAATGAAAATAATTTACTTTTTCTCAAGAAAAATCTTTATCCTTCTCTATATGAACTTAATCTAAAATACTTGTCAGTACCGGCTACATCAGCTCCTATTGAAAGAATATTTTCTAAAAGTGGTTTTATTATGCGTCCACATCGCGCATCGTTAACCTCAAAAAATGTATGCTTGCTTACTTTTCTTAAATGCAATAGCGTTTTGTTGTAATTTGATTGTTTAAAAGTTTATGATGAAAAAAATAAGAATAAACATATTTTGATTCATGACTTTAACAATGTTTCGATCTCAAAATTAATACATCATTATTAAAACTATCAATTAAATTTTTTCTAATGAGATCTTAGGAAACTCACTCTTATGTACTCGTACTCGTACTCGTACTCGAGAGTTCGATACTCGTACTCGTACTCGTACTCGAGGGTTCGGTACTCGTACTCGTACTCGTACTCTAGGACCAGTACTCGTACTCGTACTCGTACTCGAAAAAGTCCGTACTTGCCCAGCTCTGTACAGAACCAATTCATCATATTCTTCTACTACTGACGATAAATACTGAAGGTAGACAAAATACGTATGCGAAACTATACACGAATACTCTAAATGCCACCAAAGGGGATGCGCGACGTATCTTTTTCATCATCTGTTCAACATCTTCTTAGAAGTGAATGGAGAAAACAACCATAAATCACATCAGAAATTCGCATAAGGATCTCATATCATCGTTTTAATCATATCTGCTTATTAAGGTACTTGCAGAAATAATTGCAGTTTTTAGGTTCCAGTTTTACGAGACGATACCACTTAACAGGTGACGAATATGTTTTATACAATGAAACATACGGAAAGAAGATATTAGGAATCTGATAAATCTTATTGACATATTGAAATCTGCTGGAGAGTATGTGTTCACAAGTGACGATTTTTTTGTCTATAAATTGAAATAATTAATTGGGATCCATCGTTCACATTGCGAATGATTGAATACATCAATTTGGATGATAACTGGTCTTGAAACCATACAATTAGTTCATCATTTGTTTCTGATGAATGGTAGCGGCTTCTTTCATCATCTTTACAGCGGACGATCAATACTCGAAGATTTGGCATGGTGTTGATGAAGTTAAAAACATTTGTTCGGCTTTCAACATCAACAAGAAGAACTTCACACTGGAATGCAATAAATGTACGAGTTAACATCGAACATTCTGCATTCTTAAAATATCTTAAGCCACACTTAAAATTTTGAAATAATTCAAATCGACGGATCGATATACTACTGATGTTGAATGATGCCATTGAGAAGTTATTCGAATGGCTAAAACTCAATGAATAGAGACGAGGAGCTATATTAAGCAATGCTTGTAATTGAGGATAACCAAAATCTTGATTTAAAACTGCATTCAGTGAAATTAGTTGATTCAATTTTGGAATAGCTGACCAAAAATCGTTGTTGAATGGAAATACAGTTGAGAGATGCCGAATGTTAAGAAATCGAAAAGTGAAAAGTGGAAAATCTTCATTAAGATTTTGTCTACGATGAATATGTTCAAGTATTTGCACTTGATTATAAGCTGAATCATGGAAATCATTAGGACTTGTTGATTTTGATCGACTACCATCTGTGAAATAAAATGTATCAAAAGCATATGGCAAAGTATAAAGAATACCAATCTTATTTATGTCCATTGGACACCAATCACATTGAACATACCATTGATGTTTCTCAATCCAGAATTCAGTTCGAAATGAATGAAATATTTCATCAATCTGTTGTTCTACATCACTTAATGGAAGAAGCTCAACGCGCATTTTCAATCGAAATATTTTTATATTTGGTAAATAAGTGAGAAAGACTTTTTCCCATGCATATCCATCTAAATAAATAGTATTTGTTTCTAATGTTAAGTATTTTAAATTGGGCATTATTTGGAAAAGATTCTTCATCGATTGTACAGAACCTTGAAAAGACGTCTTGAATGATATTATAGATGGAAACATAGTTTGTGGTTGATAATCATCGTATTGACTTATGCCATATATATGAAGTCGTTGAAGATAAGTCGTGTGTAGTAATAGATGAGACAAGCTATGTAAATCGTAATTGATATTCTGAATAGACAAATAGTTAATAGATTGCGAGATTACTGACATTTGAATGAGCTGTATTGCATACGGATGTATGATATCAAGATGACAATGTGTAAGGTTCGGTAGACTCCATATATTGTTTATAAAATCGTGAAAATTTTCAGCTGGATCCTGATAGGTATTTATACTGATGTACAAATGAGTAAGATATGAAAGTTCACGGCATTGTAATATAAGTTTATTTAATACATCGAAAGAGTAAATATAGTCAATGAAAAGCAACTTCAAATGAATGAATTGTTTGATAATATAATT